TTTTTTTTTTTTTTTTTGTTCAATTAAATAGGCCTCTAGACAGTGCAAATGGTCAATGTTTAATGCATTAATGAAATGGGCTTTGGAGTCGAAAATAAGCCCCGCTTCCTGACAAATTCTGCTGCTCTTAATCTTCCGAGGAAATGGAGATGGAAATTTAAGCAGCCGGGCTACCGGGCAGCTCTTGGAGGAGCTGGCGAACAGCTGCACCGGTGAAACCCTGCAGCAATGGAGCATCAGTGAAGCAAGCAGTTACTAAGCAGAAGGCCAAAGCTGCACAAAGGGGGTTCTGCGGTGAGGACACGGCCGGGGTGCCAAGTAGTGTGATGAAATTCTTCAAAACAAAAGGCATGTTAAATATCTGATGCATTAAGGAGATAGGTAACACGTAAGCAAAGCTCTTAAATATACAGTATGTCGTCTTCCAATGGGTGCTATTATAATGATCACACAAGTTTGCAAGTTAAAAACGCCTTGCTTATTAATTAAAATTAAGACTAAACCTCTAATTTTGTCTGTGAAAGTGACTGCAGCCTATCTATACCCTGGGTGTTGAATATGAAGATTTCGACTATCGGTTGGTTCGGGAGCTCGGTTCATGGGAGGCCGATGGACTTTTCCCAGCACGGCCATGCTCTGATCTCTGAAGCAAGACTGCTGGAAGTCCCCGCTTAGGTAATCCATGGTCTGCATCACGTTGTTCTGGCTGGCCGGCCCCGCTCCAGCTCTGTAATGAGTTCCCCCTGCACAATCGAGCGGCGCTCCCGTCGGCTGTCCACCGTGGAAAGGCATGGCAAGGTCCTGGGACCCCGAGCTGTCACTGTTGGGAGTGGGCAGAATGTTATTCCAGATGGGCTGGAAATAGTGCCCGTTAGTATATGGCAAGGGTCCCTGCAACCCGTTCACAGGTGGAGAAGGCGTAGGCTTCTCAATGGGGGGCTTCAAGTTGAACGACTGGCCCATGCACAGTTCTTGAGGGTAGTTTGTTTTGCCTGGAAAACTCTGCCCTGCAATCTCTCTCGGAGGGTGCTTCCCTGCGAGTCCAACCGGCCCAGCAGCATCCCCGCACATTTGCTGCAGATGTGCAAGCTGGTGCTGGTTCCACGCGACCGATTTGATCTCGCTCTGGTACGCAGGCGGCACCCTGTTAATATTCACCATGGGCACATTAACAGAGGCAGAAGGAATAGCAGCAGCAGCATGGTCGACAGGGTTTACTACACAGGAAGGCATGGGTGTAGGGACATTGTGAGTAGATACCCTGGTACTTGCATTGATAAGCAGGTTGCGACTTATAGGACTGGGGTTTGCAATCTGTCCCTCACACACTGAGGTAGTGCTAATGCCAGCTCTGGCCTGGCAGAACTGGTTAATCTGGTGCACGATGCTGCTCAGGTCCGGTGGCTGGTTCTGCTGCAGGGTGGCAGCCATAGAGAGGGGAATGGTTGAGGTAGACACGGTCACATTCGGCGGCGCGTCTGCATCCGGCAGCTTTCTGCTCCCATGTAAACCCGGCTGCAGCAAAGGGGTCGGGGGGTGCTGCAGGCTCTGGTGTGCCATGGCCGGAGGATGCTGCAAGCCCTGCGGCTGCTGCATGCTCTGCGGGTGCGGGATCCCCTGAGGGTGGTGCGGTAAGCTTGGTGGCTGTGGTATCCCCTGAGGGTGCTGCAAAGGCTGGGGGAGAGGCTGGGCGTGCGGCAAAGTCTGTGCATGCTGCAGGGCCTGCTGGCGAGCAAGCGCCTGGGGGTGGCTTAAAGTGCTAGGTGCAACGTACGGGGCGGACGGGGGGTTCATCATGGCCTCGGGCAGCAGGCGCGTGCGCGTCCCGTCGAAGTCTTTGACGACGCCTTTCGCTGGGGACTTGACTATCGCCAGCAGGCCTGTCTTGGTGGCGGCCTGCGACGGGTACGGGCTGTACCTCTGGCCCGAAGTATCGAGTCCGTTCACAGTACGGCGAAGGTGTTTCCTCTGGGGAACCTTGACACTGTTTGGGAAGATTTTTATAGTCAGTGGATTGTTGGCGACCTTCTTAGCATAAGCATCCAATTCTGCTGGGGTAGGATACTGTGCAGATCTCATTTTCTGTGTAGTGTCCCCTGCGGAGAAAGGAAAATTATCAATACTGGCTCTGGGAAACGAGGGATCAACCTCAGGATGAGAAAGTTACACAACACGGGTAGAAAACCTCCAGGGAATCAAGAAGCAAGAGCTTCATCTGCCCAGAGCAGCAGATCAGACAGCAGCTTCCTCATTCCTTTTATTACCTGCCTTCCAACACAACCCCCAATTCAACTTAAGGCGAGACCTGCCTAAGGGGGCAAAACCAAACCAATGTTCTCATTGTTTACAGCTGGACAAAACCAAGGAACACGTTACAGACATCGAATCGTCTCCAGCTTGCAATATTTATTCTTGCTTGCGCTGCTGGGCTAGTTTATACTCTCTTAATTTAAGGCTGCCTCCCGGTAGCTCTTCGAGCCATTCTCAGAATCTTTCGCGTCTAATTCAAGAACCAGAGGAGTTATGAATTAAACACTGAACCCAGGTAATGCTGAGGTGACACCAAACAAAGCTCTTCAGCTGAAACCACCCTTTAAATTTCAGTTCTCTTCTAGCTGCTGACATGGGAGAGCACCGAGTGTCCTCTTGTCCATTAGCAAGCCCTTGTTAGTCCAGGTGTAGCAAATAAAAGGAGTCTACGCAGGCAATATTTTATTACTTGCAATTACTGAAGTGCAGTAGTCCTGAAGTAAAAACCAGTACGTTTTTAATCCTGAGAGACAGGCATGTAATCTTGCCATTTGATACTAGGATCCTACTATTCCCCCGGAGACAGAGGACAGAGCAGGAGTTTCATATACTCCCATTTAGTAGATACCTACCTGGCCCGCATGCTTGAACAGCAGTGGGTCCCATGTATATTTTTGGAAAGATCTTCAGAAATCAAGGGAAAAGCTTGTGCCTCTGCACCTATAATCTTATTCCTAGCAGGCAGCTGGGCTGTTTCCTTACCACAGCTATGCTGCTTAACTCCGTAAGACTGCTTCTTTAGAAGTGATTTTATTATCTTCAAATACAGGCTTGCAGCTTTGACAATCCGATTTTGCTTTTGCTCTTTTTTTTTTTCCCCCCCTTCATTTTGCAAACAGTTCACTGAAAAAAAAAAAAGTGCCCGTCACCTTTGCTAAAACATTCAGCCTTCCGTGGCATCTACTGCTGGGTGGAAAGAGCAGGAAACTCCAGCTCTTGCCTTGCGTGTGGCTCTCCGACCTGGGAAAATCTAAGTGCTCCATACAGAGCTTGATGCTGCCAGGCAAATGGCCCATCCAAAAATGCACCTTTTTAAGCAAACTGCCTCTAAAAGGCTCCTGGATACCGCTAAAGCCTAAGGACAAACCATCTTTTCATCACTGCCTTGGCGTCTCGTAGCTTCTTGTCTTCACATGCAACAGAGATCCCCACTTCTCTGAGAGAGCCCCCTTTCAGAAAGGAAGGGCCAAAAAGTACAAAACAGCACAGATATCCAAAGGAAAGATAATTATAGAAATATCAAAAATATCTTCTGTGAAATGGAAAGCTTTGCAAGCAGGCTGTGTTCATCTCCAGCAAAGCACCTACCACGGTGCCATTTAGATTCTTACTCTCGCTGTGCTGTCTAAATACTGGCAGGCACCATCCTCTCCCTTTATCTGAGGACACACTAATTCAGTATTAACCTAAATATCCTTCTGCTCCTGTCCCCTGCATCTTCCATGGCAGGCAGGTAGCTTCTATAGATGAAACAGATGACCGGTGCAACGCACTACTGGAAAAGAGCCATCGATGTTGGACAAAGGAACCCTTATCTTCTCTATATTATGGTTTATGTGACCATTTTCACATCAAAATGTGGAATTCTCTTCTTTTCTCTTACAAACTGACTCAGTCTTTCTGCTTATGCCTGATCAGGGTGATGTATTTGTCCCGAGACACTTACAGATGTTGTGTTTCATTAGTGTTCCCATATGCAAGGCTCAACGACTCAAACGGGTAACACAAAATTGTGAGAAAGGCATCAAGGGTGATCAAGAATATCCTACGAATCAATAAATAACAATTAGGTCAGCTAATTAAGTGAATGGAAAAACAGCTACTACAGACTGGAAGAAAACGGTGTATATGGGCACCATTTGTGGCCATGAATTCTGCATTGGGACATTAAATGATGAGGAGAATGGCGGAGGAACAAATGACATCAAAATAAAATAAAATAAAATAAAATAAAATAAAATAAAATAAAATAAAATAAAATAAAATAAAATAAAATAAAATAAAATAAAATAAAATAAAATNAAATAAAATAAAATAAAATAAAATAAAATAAAATAAAATAAAATAAAATAAAATAAAATAAAATAAAATAAAATAAAATAAAATAAAATAAAATAGCTATGGGATGAGCTCCACAAAACCACCCTTAGGTACATGCAAGACAGAGTACTTGGGCTGCAAAGTAACCTGCCTCATGTGACTTCATGCTGTCTGGAGGGTAAAGCGATGCACATGAGCAATTACCCCAATAAACTGGTGAGCTCCAAGTTCACGCTCCGGCTGATACCAGGGCAATCAATTCATCTGTTCACATCCTGGTATGTGTTGCACCACACCGGAGCTATTTTTGTTGTCGGATGAGATATATTTTTCTGCTTCGCCTCAGCACTGATGTAACATCTCCTCTTAAGTGCCTTTTACATTAAGGCTTTAAACCCCACAGCTTTTGAAACTGCTTATGGTGAAGTTTTCATTAAAATTAAATAAAGTATAAGCAGGCTGTCAGGATTTATACCCTTATCAGAGCATCTGCACTGGTACAAGCCAAGAGCAGCTGTGTCCATCTCCTGCATAAACACCTCAACTGTGCCAGGTTCTCACGGGTTTTACTGAAAGAGCCCTGAAAACAGCTAATAGAAAAATACTTAATTTTAATAGAAAACAGTTAATTTTAGTTGACAAATCAGTCTTCACTCTCAGCCTGCTTTTCTCCTTCTTAATTCCCCCACTAAAAACCCTTTCGTCTTGACTTTGTGCCCCTATCAAAACAAATCAACCTTTTTCTTCCAAGGCCTTCAGGTACTGCTGCTATATCCAACCACAGCTAAAAAATTGCCCGGACAGACTTGCCTCAAGCATCCTGATTGACTTCAGGGATTTATGTTTGGCTCACTGGAAAAAAAAAAAAAAAAAAAAAAAAGGATGCAATATCAATATGGGGGCAGTGGTCAATTTTGAAAGGAAAAATATTTGTGTATTTGCCTGTGGAACTACCTCACAGACCATCTTAAGGAAAAAAAATGTTATTTGGAAGTGGGTAAGAGAACAAAAAGATAATTGAGGTAGTGTGGATTTTTAAGCATGAAAAAAAGAGTACTAAACTTACTAATTACTAAACTAAACTTACAAATTATTAATACAAATAGCAAGAGACTGGATAAAGGCTATGGGGGGGGGGGTTCTGTGGCTTTCATTGCAGAAACGGTGCTGTTAAGGGCCTCTTCCAACCCCCAATCAAAAGTCACAAGTCACTGTTCATTAAAAACGCTCATTACCGCAGCTTGCCTTTGGCCAGGGGCGAGACTACTTGCGCATACGTGGGATGCAGAGCACTGCACCGATGAATCTCACACACATCTGCAGCAGGGCTGGGCCAGGTCTGCGCGAGCAGCTCCGTTTCCCAGATACATCAGAGCAAAGTGGCACAGCTGAGCATTACCCAGCAGCAAGTGCCTGCCAGCTACTCCATGTCCTCAATTCTTTTAAGTGCAGCACCTTAAACTCTTCCCTAAACAAGCCGGGGCAATGCTCTCAGCACAGAGATGAGCAGGTCTTGGCAAGCACCTCGGGTTAAAAAGCTGCCCGGGTAGCAGCATGTTGCCCTGCGAGGTGCAAGGCTAACAAATACCCCAATTATGCACAACGACCCTCACACAAACCTAAAGGACTGGGTCAGCTTTCTCTGTCAGAATCCTTTCCAACCTGCTGAAGAAACTTTACGTAATGCAAGAACCTGTTTCTCACAGCCACAGACCATCTTCCGAGTATTTCGGTGTGTTTTGGACAGCACAACTGGAAATGGAAGGGGAAAAGGGGTGAATTCCTACCTTCGTGCCATCTAATGAAGTGTGAGTGGAGAGTTTTCCATCTACCACAAGTGTTATTACAATTACAAGCCCATGGGGTTGTCATAAATTGTACTGCTGTGCTGTGGAGGAGCACACGATTGTGCCTGAAGAACATCGGTCACTCCTGGTAGGTGCAGAAGCCTTAATATTATCGTAGATATTTTCAGTCCTGGGACACCAATCTTAACATATGAACCACTTAGCTGTAACTGGAGCGTAAATTACTCGATTTTCAAGAGTATCAATGATTCTATCAAGAAACCGAAGGTCCAGAAATTTCCCCCATGTCCACTTCAAATGTAAGCGACAAGTTGCAGCCCTAAGAACCAACACAGATCTTCAGCATAAACCTTGGCATTGCTCAAATGTCAGCTAGACGAAATCAGGGTGCAACTTCAGTGATGAATGAGCAAAGACAAGAGCAGCATTTTAAAAAATCGCTAGCAAATAGGCACATGTTCCCAAGCACGAGTTCTTCTTAAAATACCAGTACAACCATCAGAAAAGAATTCACTGAAGTAGGCAAAAAGGAATTATTACAAGTACTCTGCAGACATTTTTAGATGCCCCAAAGAGACAGCAGAAAGAAGACAGGAATTGTGAACGTTAGTAATTTGGGCTAGATCACTAAGAGCTGCACTATGTGCCCCAGCTAGGTAGAACAACAGGACTGACCTTAACAGGTCTGAATTAGCCTGAGCTGATATTTATTACTTTCTACTTCATAGAAATGAAAGAGTCAGGAAAAAAAAAAAAAAAAAAAAAGAAGTTGCATTAAGAAGTGAGTCAGCTACCACACTATCGGTACCAAATATTTTTAGCAAGGAGGCAAGAATCTCACGGAAACTTTGCTTGCATTTGGTCTTGCTAGGGTTAAAATTTACCTTTATAAGGCCGGGAGGGTGGGGAGAGCCTGCAGCACAGACCTGGAGCTTCCTAACTAGTTCTTATAGCCACGAGTGATGGATGCCTTGAAGGCAAACAAAACAAAGACTCTGACATTAAGCAGCTTTTTCCACTGTATCCGACATGTTTAATTCCCAGCTGTACCAGGGCCAGATTTAACAGTTAACCACATCCTGCAGACAAAACGTCACTCACATTTCTGAAGTCCAGTGTTCATCTGCGTGTAAGAAAGAAGCTGAAAGGAGAGGTCACCTGGTCCTGGCAGACAGGCCAGCATGGCAGACAGGCACTAACACAACATGGGCCATTCACTCCTCTGCACACTGCAACAACAGAGAGACAATTCAAAGTTATAATACAAGGAGGAACACAGAAAAGAAAGAGGCAAAGGGCCACCTGGGTGGGTAAGGCCTGACCAAGCCAAGATGCACGGCCACTGCTTGGGCCCTTTCCACGCCGCCCTCGGCAACCTCCTGTGTGCAAGGGGAGTATTTGACCAAGTGGGTCATCTGTACCTTGTAGATGAGGCACTTAGGGACACGGTTTAGCAGGATGGTGTTGAAGGGCTACATGCTCTAGGTGTGCCTGCTTGAGCAGGAAGGTTGGACTAGATGATCTCTAGAGGTTCCTTCCAACCTTGAACATCCCGTGGTTCACGGTTGGACTCAATGATCTCGAAGGTCTTTTCCAACCGTAATAATTCTATGACGTGTGTCATTAACACGCCTCAAAAATAAAGTGTAACGAATTCCTTTCTCACTCTGCTGTTTGAGACGCAGAGGACAATCCGTAACCATCCTCCAGAGTCAAAGACAGTTGTTAGGAATGGTAAAGAACCCACCAAGGTTCATTTTACTACATACTGAAATACATGGGCTATCTACCAGGTAGAGCAGAAGCCGTTTCGCTGCAAAAATCCTGTCAACTGCTCTGTTACATTTAATAAAAAGGCACAGCATGCATAAATTGAAGGCCAAGGATGCAGCACTTTGCCTTGTGGCAAGATTAAGCTGCATGCTCCAGCTTGTAATTTCTGTGGCCCATTAGTGTGAAAGATGAATGGCTACAACTGCCTTTATTTTACACAAGCCGTCAGTTATCTGAGCAGCCCGCAGATAAACTGGAAGACGTGGCTCCTCCATCAAGGAATTGCAGGGGCTCTTCCATCCTGCGTGCCGGGGGTTCAGAATTGATGGAATTAAACCTCAACACGAATGCAGGAAGCACTAAAGCATCCATATATATATATATATATATGTATATATGTATATACATACATATATATATATATATATGTATACACTGTGCAGCTAGCCTCAAATCCCATCATCAGCTTATGAACACAAGGCAGGGGAGAGGGGGATGTTTCCAGCGGCTAAAGCTACCCCTGGCTCCAAGTCTCCCAACATTCCTGGGATTACAATCACAGGGAAATTTTGGCTGGAACGAGTCCTTTAGAGGTCATCTGGTCCAACCCCCTACTCAAATCCCCTTTCCTGCAGCTCTTGGGACCTGCACAAGACACAGGTCACCACGAGCACTTGGGAAAGCTTTGGAAAACGAGGTGGTTTAAGCAAGCTGGAGAAATCAGTTGGCTTCTCCTCGTGCCTGGATCGCTGCAAGCATCAATGCCCATTTTGCTAAGATGCCTAAAGAACAACTTAGAAACAACTCGGGACTTTGTACCCCTGAAACTGAGAACGGATCGAAGACGACAGAAATTACAGACCAGTTTAATTTTAGTCATTGTTTCACAAAGCCTAATTAAAACAACTGGAGAGGCTTTCAAAGATCGTACCAGGTGAAGCAGAAAGCTCGAGACTGACAAAGGGGCCAGGGCTGAAGAAACCCTGCAGAGGAGCCTTTCAAAGGAATCGTCCTGCTTAGCACTGCACAAAACCACGCGACGCTTTTCACCTTTAAGAGCCAACTACACCCCGGGCAGGAAAGTTTAAGACTCTGTTCTGGACAGCACAAGTGCCTTCGTATTTCTGCTGCAAATCCCAAAGCTGGTTTTGCTCTGCAGAGAGGTTTTGGAGCCTTGAGCTCCAAGCCTAATCTCAGATCGTTGCCACAAGTGAGAATTCTCAAGGAAAATGGACACCAAAGTGAATGGACTTAAGGTCTTACCCATATAGCAGCAATTACTCCTCATATACAACTGATTAGCTTTGGTGTTTACCTGTGTCTCCCAGTTCAGTATGCAAGAGGTGATCAAAGCAACCACCAAGAAACCTTGGGCAAATGCTCATTCATGAAAATACCTGCATCTTCATGGAATAAATGCTCTCGGACCAAGCTGTGTTGACCAAGCAAGCTGGGTGCCAGCGTGACCTGCAAGTACAAGTAATTTTGGACCCCAAGAGCCAGCTTGCTAACCCTGAGCTATTGTTCACCGGCCTCATTCACATTATCCCTTGCAATTAACGGCTCGTCAGAGAGTTGAGGGAGAATCCAAGCAGCTGATCCCACCAGGCAGCTGGACCCCACAACAGAATTACTTTACATTCATTCTTCATTTAATCACCAGGCCATAGGAACTATTTGCATTGCCAGAAGTCCCACATTCATGGCTGTAAGATCTCCAAGCCTAAATCTGGGTTTTCTCTTTACATTCTGTAAGAGGGGGAGCTCGCTCAGTCTCTCAGGAGGTATTCAGAAACAAACGCTGATGTCCTGACACATTCACAACTTAAAGGGCTTGCTCTAGGGACAGAAAAACTGCTTGTCCTTTACAGTTGAGCTTTATTCACGACTGTAAGGATGTTGTATTCAGTGAAATCACTGCAAACATTCTGCGGGCAGCAGGTTCTTACCCAAACTATGCCCAGCAAGACCCAAAAGACAAGACAAGAATCCAACTCCTTTTCATCAGGAGACAAAAACACTGAAGTTGCCAGAGCTTTATCTGAGTAAGCAGCACAAACACTAAGAGTCAGCAGGAAAAAAAAAAAAAAAAAAAAATTGCATTTTCCTTTTCTTCTCTTTTAATCAGCTCCAGAAGACCCGCAAAACCAAGACCTACTTCTCAGTGAAAAGCAGACAGGCCAAATGAAGAGCCTTCACTGTAGTCTCAAAATCATCAGATCAGAGTATTATCAAATTCAACCTTTCCTGAGGTCTGATGCCGGTCTGGGATTGCATTACATCACTGCATGGCCAAAAAAGAGCCGTGCGTGCTTAAAATATTACTGAACCCATGACCGCTTTGTGTGCCGACCTAAAAGAGCGAAAAGCAACTGTGCAGCACAGCAATAAAGGTGCTCTTGGGCTGAACCAGCAGCATTTCCTACCGTAAGAGATGCTGGGTTTGCTCACCTGCTCGGTCCTCAGCATTCATTAGAGTGGGAACATCGTGACTCGTGTGCATAAAGTGCCACTGGTGCCACTCAGGTCGCAATAAACAGCTTAATGACACATTAGGAGAGAGAATAAGTGGCTAAGAGTGGTCAGGGCTTTCAACCGAGAAGAGCCAGGCTTCTCTGATAAGACAGCCCCATTTCCTGGAAGGTCAAAACACATATTTACAGAAGTCAGAATTCTGCTTTATCTCCGATATGGAGGGTAGTATTTTAGAGAGAGCCATAAAGGGGAGTTGTTCCCCCAGGCGGATAATCATTTTGGGCAATGCCAAAGGTTCATAAAAGACTGGGGTGACGATAATAATTTTCAAGGAAGTATGTGACTTACAAAAATTATTTTAAGTGGAAGCATAAAATGATTCCCTTAGCCTGATTTGCAATAATCAAATTGGCATCATCTAGGTCACTGCTAAGCATTAAAAAAAGAAATTTGGACTTATATAGAAACAGAAACGCTGACCATAATGCTATCTCTGAATTCCTTATTATAATTAATATCCTGTTCCAATTTTTATTCTCTATAAAATTAGCATAGCTTTCCCAAAGCTTTATCACAGTCTTGGAAAACAAATGCTTTTTTACTGTCTTTACAAATAAACCATTACTTCTGATTAGAAATTACCAGTTATTCCCTGTAAGATACGCAGCACCTGGTTTCTTTTTTCCTGTCCTGAACGATCTTCAGCATGAACTAACGCAGCAGATTCAGAGAAATCACACACGGTTAAAATGAACTAAAATCCTCTGCACTAACCATATGTGGGATTAAGGAAAGCACTAGATTGTTGCTCCACACAGCCCCGGGTCACCAGCTCGGGCTCCAGGCACGGCAGCCGCTCAGCCCGTCACCCTCGTCAGTGTTCGCTTTTATTGCTCCTAATTAGTCCAGAGCAGCGGGTAAAACTGAACCCGGCGCGTGGAGAATTCTCACCGGGACGGACTTGGCTCCGTGGCTGCAACTTGTGTGGGCACCAGCACCTGCAAAGCCCCGCGGGGCCGCCCGAGGGACGGTCCTGGCTCAGACCTTGAGCTCCTTCTGCCTCCTGCCGGGCTGGCTACCGCCGGCCTCCAACCCCGGCAGCCTCAACCTGGAGGCCGAGCTGCCCTGGGGAGGCCTGGGCAGCCAGCAGCGCAGGGCGCCTCTGAAACCGTCATTAATTTTGTTCTACTGGACGGGCAAATTAAGTTTTATTGCTTTCTGACAGGATTCTGTGTGCCACCAAATGCAGCATAATGAGCTCTGTCTGGAGTACGAGAAGTTTGGAAATGCACAGAAAAAAAAAAAGGCATTTCTAGAGAAAAGCAATCGTTCGAATAAATAAATAAATGGCCCTCTCTGAAGCAATTTTAATCTTATCTGGCTGTAGGATATAATCTAATAGCACAGGTACTGCAGGACCCGCTACAAAAGGGTTAGTTTGTTTACGTGCAGAAGTAGGTTTTTTTTTCTCCTAAGATTTAGTGCTATTGAATCAAAACATGTTAAACGTAATAGGGATTTACAGTGCTTGGCTTGGGGATAATTACAAATCCCTCCATTTGTTGTGTTCTGCCTTACCTTCATCTCCGTGTATTTTTTTGCTCTTGGCAGCACTGTGTATCCTGCACGGATTTTCCAAGATACCAGGTCAAGGGGGAGGACTCCAAAACTCACCTTTACCCACAGCATAGGAAAACCCTCCCTGCACACCTAGGAACCAGATTTAGCTACATATGATTGTAGGCATTAAACACATTTCCTAAAAATTGTGTGTTATTTTCCAGCTGATATCAAAGGTTTAATATCGTCTCTGCCAGACCAAATACTCCCCAGACCAAGGGAGACTTTTGCAACCCGTAGTAAACCCGAGATGCAGAGCAACCCGATACAGCAGGGAAACTTGCAATACTCTAACGCAAGTTTTATCATTATATAAACGGACCACACAGAGTTATTGCCAAGTGTTTAAATACAGCAGTGG